AAGCCGTGATAGGTCTGTGATTATTTGATTGAAGCCATTAACATGCTGCGCCAGATCATAACCTTCCTGCATCTTCAGCCCATATAACTTTTGCTTCAGATACAACTTGTTCGTCAAAGATTTTGCCATAAACTGAGTTTCCAATTTCTTCCAAACTTCTCCTGGAGATTTCAGATTCATCACACGATACATAACCTCATCTGCTAGGCATAGTCGAATCGTTGGTGCCGCTCGTTGTTGCAATTCTTCCCAATCTTCATCCTCCATGGCATCTGGTTTTATTGCCCGCAAAGCCTTCAAGATTCCCTGTTGCGCCAACAGATCTTTCACCCTGGTTTGCCACAATCCGAAGTTACCAGTTCCGTCGAACTTCACCACCTCGAATTTTGCACCAGAAAAAGCCATCTGAAAATTATTCCTGCAACGAAACTTTTTGCAAAAAATTTCTCTGCAAAAATCCTTGCTAAGATTTTTTTTTTAAGAAAAGAAAAAAAAATTGAAATCTTCGAGCAAAGCAAAAAATTTCCTTTCCGCCTCCAAGAAAAAAAAAATAAATATTTCCTTTATTTCCTCTCCTTATCCGCAAAGGAAATCCTTAATTAAATTTAAATAAATTTAATTAAAAAAACTTCCAGCAAAGGAATTATTTCCTTAATTAAAAAGGCTTGCAGCAAATAATTAAGGAGTTAAAGCTTCCCCTTGGCCCGTAAAGGAAATTTCCTTCTCCGCTTTAATTATTTCCTTTAAACCTTTCAGCAAACGAAATTTCCTTCTCTGCTTTAATTATTTCTTTTAATTAAACCTTCCTTTACGTGGGCCAAGGGAAAAGATTTCTTTCCAAAATTCCATCCAGCAAGGCTTAATTTCAAAGAAAATAGAAAGAAATCTCCTCATGCCCTGAACCTGACCGCAGCTTCCTTTCCAGCTGAACTCCTATATCGCGATCCAAACCATCACAAACTCCTGTGAACTTTGTCGAAGCCAAACTCCGAACTTCACTTTCGGCCTGAAGCCGGAATCCTTTGCCCGAATTCCAAATCTCCTTCCCCGAAGTCGTCCGAACGACTTCGTCTGGAACTCCTGCGATTCACGATCTCTCTGTCCCGCGCGCGAAGCTCTCTGTCGCCAACCGAATTCTCTCGGTCGGAACTCCCTCCCTGCTCCTTCGGAATTCCTCCGTCGCAGAACTTGTCTACCAAAACGACGATTCCTCCTTCGTCCCTGCGCCGATCTCTTCTCTGACCTTGAACCTATCTCTGATACCACTTGTTGAGAAAATTAGGGCGAAGAAAAACTAGTACGACACAAATCCAGAAGAACACAGAGATTTAACGAGGTTCGACAAAGATGCCTACGTCCTCGGGAGCAGAGCGGCGAGTTCCTTTCACTATTCAGAAAAGGGTTTACAAAAACCAGGGATACCTCCTGGGGTTACTAACAGACCTATTTATAACCCCAGGAGTAAACCTAGACACAATATGTAATTACAACATTACCCCTGTACCATACCGCAGGGCTTTGCCCCCGCACCCCAACCCACGTAACTTCCCAATTTGGACAGATTCTTCCGCTCCGCTTCGATCCAGCGTCTGTCCCGATATGGTATATGAGCCATACCATAACAGCTTCTCTTCTTGTTAGTAGCATTTTTCACGCTCACCGCAACTTTTTGGATGTTAAATTCAAATTTATCCTCGGAGGCATGCCCAAGGATCGAAGCTATAGAAACATTAAGGGAGAAGTAGAGAAAGAAAGAGAGGAAAAAAAAGCAACAGAGTACACATAGACTTGTCACATATGAGAGAATTGAGGTATTTCTTGGCTCTATGACCCATTGTATATATTGAAATTAGAGAGTTACAAGAGAGAAGGAGAGTGAGTTCTCCCAGCAGTGTTTACGTCTAGAGATAAGAGCTAAAAGCCCAAAATACATGCTACGCCTCCCCTAATTATGAGATAGAATGGAAAAAAAAACAAATGATTATTTGCCTACCCCTGCTTTAATAGGGGTTTACATGACATTATTGTCTCTTGTCATGTCTTTTCATATTTGTAACAGATTCTGATACATTTTGTTTGGCCTAGACATATTTGATAGGTACTTGGGAGTTGGTTTGGTTGACAAAGTTGACACGGGTTAGCTATTTTGCCTGGTGCCTGTCAGTTTGGGAAGTCGATTTGACTTAGCGCGACTGGTCAATTTGCTTGATTATTCTGACATACTGGAGATCTCTAGGGTGTTGTTGAGGGGTCTCACATTGGTAGTTGTGAGATTATTGTGGGTATTTTACCTTGTTCTTGAATGTTTGTTCACGATCGACTTGGATGACCCTCTAGGTTGTTGGATTGACCTTCAGTCGCTCATCAGGTCTCAGCACTACAGGCAACTGATTGGTGGTTCTTCAACCAATCTAATGCATGAGGGCTTATAATTTCTTGTTAGAATGAACTCTTTTTTATCTCTTTTAATCATAAATGTTAAATTCTCTTGAGATTCATGCAAATTATTTTTTGGGACACACACACACACACACACACACACACACACACACACAC